TCAGATGATGAAGTTGTTTATGTTACTGTTGTTGCTTTTTTATTACGATGAAACCAGAAAAAAAAACATTATTCATGACATGGAATGATATGTATTTTATTATTATTATTATTATTATTGAAAAAAATGTTTGTGATTGCATATTTTTTGTGTGTTTTCATTTTCAACAAGAATAAAACATTTTTTTTTTGGCAGAATACAATTCACATACATATTTATGTATGTTTGTGTGTTTGGATTGTTTATAGGAATTGAAAAAATTTTGTTTTTTTTTCTTCTTTCAATTCTTCATTCCTAAATGATGATATTTATATTATTATTATGATATTTTTTGAATTTTAAATTTTTTTTGATGGTAAAAATTTTGTTTTTTCTTCGTTTTGACTTTGGTTGTTCTTATTTTGGCTATAACAACAACATATTTGTCTGTATGTCTATGTTTATGTTAGAAACTTTAAGATTTCATTTGTTTTTTCAATCGTCGATAATGATGATCGTTATTATTTGAAATGAATAAATTGTTATATATGATAAGCCGACAGTTATGGTTCATCATCATTTTTGATTTAAAAAAAATAAGCATAAAATCATGAGACTGGATGAATAAAAATATTTGAAAATCATTTCAAAACATTTGAACATTCTGTGTTTGATTTGATATGAAAAATTTAGCATACCAAAATATCATCATCATCATCATAGGATGGGCAAAAATAGCAATTTTTTTGTTGTTGATCAAATAGTTTTTTATGGCTGTTTTCTTTTTTGAATAAAATTACATTTGGATCATATTCAAAATGATGATGGTGATGATTTTTTGCCTTCGTAAATTCTTTCATCTAATTACCCAATTTATTTTTATTTTGATTACTTTTCAATTGCTTTAATAATCAAAGATGATGGAAATTTTTTTCTTCCAATTCAACTGTTATGGGAAAAATCGATTGCAATTTCTATGTCAAATTTTCGATGAGAGAAAAAAATCCATTTTGATCATGATGATGATGTCGATCAAAAACAAAAACAAAATCAAAACAAAAAAAAATGTAGAATAAAACTCAACGAAAAACATCAAATTCCTCATTCGCAATAATCAAGACAAAACATAACTTAACATACAAACAAACCAAAAAGGACGAATCAAAATTATTTTTGTTTCAGATCATGAATTCCTTTTGCAACAAAATTGTGTGTACAAAAATAAAAATGCTAAAATTCTTTGTCGAAAGTAAAAAGAATTGTACAAATGATGATGTATTTGACATATATTTGATTACATCATGATATGAACATGATAATAATTTCATTTGTGTCAAAATTTTTTATCATTTTGTTTGTGGTAAATTATCACAAATAAACATATATTTGAACAATGATTATATAAAATACAGTAGTATAGTTAATTAAATGATGAGAATAATAATAATCTACTGTTGTTGTTTCTCTGTGAAAAAATTAAATTCATTCTGTGAATTTCGTTTTGTCTTTTTTGTTTGTTTGTTTGCTTATTCTATTCAAGCTCTAATTAGCTCATCTTGGTTTTTTTAACGATTATTATCATTTATTTTGATATTTCTTCACTTTTTCTTATCTATCATCTCGATGTGTAATTATTGTTTACTAATTAAATGAAAAAAATGACAATCAATTTATCCAGGAAAAAAAATTGAAATCAGATTTTCATTTGTTCAATTGAATCCAACAAGAAATTTTTTTTCAGTCATATGCCTCTTAACGGACAATTCTCTTAATGTTCACAATGCTTTCACAAATTTCATGAATACAATACAATAGAATCGAATTCGTTTTCTTTTTTTTTGTTCAATGTCCGATTTTTTTGTCATTGTTGTTGTTGTTGTTGTTGTATAAAGATTATCATTCAATTTCAATTCTGATTCATTGCATTATTTACATTGTAGTGATATGCCGATTCTCGATGAATTGTGTATCATTGTTATATCACTAACAATTCAACCATTATTAAATGCAAAATGTAATCATTTATTTTTGCTTTATTTTTATTTTTACCGTCAACCGCCCCCGCATCCATGAATGAAAGAAAAAAAAAATATTCAGCCGCACACTCAATGTCTGTTTTCCAACAACCGAAACAACAACAACAACAACATAGAGATGTAGTGTTTGAGAATCAGTGAGCTTGCACACAGGATATATTGTTGTATCGAATGAGAGAATATTAGAGAGAAAAGCAAAAAAAAAACAAAACAAGTAAGGAAGCTAAAAACAAGGGAAAAGATGGCAAATTAAAATTTACGCACGAATACTTCAAGTATTCATTCAACATCGTATATTTTTCAATTCATTTTTTGTTACTATCTACTGTATTTTTATTCTTGGTTGATAATATATTCTCTATGCTTTCGGATTTTTTTTTAAAGTTAAGTTTGATTCATTTCTTGAAAATTGTTCCGGACTATGGTTGTTTTTCATATATGTTTGTATGAATTATATGACACAAACATAAATCCATTGTCTCATTCATTCATTTATTTTCATCTTTTTTTTTTGGCTGATATTATTACTATTATTATTATTATTTTGATGGCCTGGCATCATTTTGATCTTTTTCTAGTTTCATTTTGGCTGGATCATTTATTTGATAGCTTATAATAATAATAATATTAATTCCCTCAAATTAAAATCCGTTTCATATGTTTTTCTCAAAATATTTTTAATAATAAATAATCAATATCAGTCAAAAAATATTGAGATGAGAATGAAAGAAACTGAAAGATGAAATTATTTTCCAATATACTTGAATCATAACTAATCAATTTGTTTATATTTGAAAGAGTGTGTTTGGTGGAAAAAAAAATTCAAATCAAAATTCTTCATGTCTCTAAATCTATATTTGTTTAAGGATTATTTTTCATTATATTCGTGGTCGTTTGTATGTGCAAATATTTTATTAATATTTACCAAAAAAAAAACGGAAAGAAAATCATTTAATTTTTATTGAGATTTGCAAATTCACAACATTCACGTCGTTGGTTTCATGAAAACATTTTTATATTTGCATCCAAATAGATTTGAATTCAATCGACGATTGACTGCCGTATAACATACACACACACGAGCTACACGTGTCACACATATACAATACGTTACTTCAAGCAAATTATATTATACCCTCATCGTTTAAATTGTTTGGATCAAATTCATTCACTTTAACAAATATTCTTGTTTGCTTTTAAAATCTTTTCGTATTTTTTTTCATTTGCACTAATATTATAACAACCAATGTTGTCCTTGTGCATGTGTATGGTATTAATATTGATATTGATGAATCAAAAAAAAAGTTTGCCAAGCTGACAGGAATTTATTTTAATAATAATGTAATGAAAAATATGTCCCGGATTCTCATCATCGTTTACAATCAATTGACATCTTGTTGCATTTTATTTGATGATGACTTAATAATAATGATAATCATCATCATCGTTTTTTTTCCACCAGAATTTATGAAATTTTCCGTTTGTATTCAATGTGTCAAATATATGATAATGTTGACATCTAATGATAATAATGATGATCATATGAAAACAAGAAGAAAAAAATGCCGGAAATTGCCCGTTTCTATGGCTTTTTCTTTTTCTATTTTACTATGATATTGAACAGGAAAAAAAATTCTCTGATCCATATCGATTCTTTTCAATATCAATATGCCTTGAATTGATTGAACATATCATTATTATCATCATCATTATCATTTTTTTTTCTCTCGATTTTTCGGACATTATAATGATCAATTTTTATGATATGACTTTCTTTTTTTAATGATTATCATTGATATATACATTACCGAATTGAAATTAAGATTGATATTTGTTTTCAATCTTTATTATTTTGGATACAGTACATTTTTTTGTGTATTTCTTCATTTCGTGATCATCCATGATTGAAGATGACTTTTAGTGCCAATAATGATGATGATGATGATGAGAATAGTTATCGGTAGCCCATATAAATACAATGTCTATGGTATGTTTCCATTTTTAAAGCGAAAAAAATGCATTAAATATTTGCTCATCATCATCATGAAATTGAATGAATCGATAGATAGATAGAATAAGAATCAAAAATAGCCCAAACGAATTGTGGCTGTGGCCATTATAATGCTAATAACAATTATATGTAATACGAAAATGTTTATTAGGTTTTCTTTCACGATTCCAATTCCACAATGATGATGATGATGATGTCAATATCATATTATTATTATCTAAATATATCTGGATCCCTTGGTAATATATACCAACACACACACACACACACACACATAAACAAAACATACATGTAATGGTATATCCATACAACAATTTGGAATCATCAAATTCAGGTTCATAAAATTGACAATTATCTTCATCATCATCACCATCATCATTATTATTATTATATAAATAGATTGATAGGAAGAGATGGATTCTATAATTATGTTTGTATGTATGAATTGTAAAAAAAATAGCCACCTTTCTGCCAACACCAATCCGATTTCCTCCCCCAACATTTAATATAATGGCGTCAACAATAATTGCCAACAAATATATTTATCCTAAATATAAACATAGCGTCAATATTGATATTAAATTGATCTACGTTATATCATTTTCATTATTATTATTATTATTTGATACCGTAAAAAGTTTTTATTGATCAAAAATTTCATTCTATCCTTGTCTTCATTCAATTTTGGTTTATGTTCATTTTTCTTTTGATTGTTTCAATTATAATCATTATATTTTGTTATTGCAAGAATTATCGTCATCATAAATTGGTTGTTGGATACATTTTGTGAAATTATCCATTTTGCTTTTCCCTTCTTTTTCTGGCTCGTAATGATCTAATTATTGATGACCATTGTTTGATCGTTTAAACAACAATTTTTTCTTTTTTTTAATAACTATTATATTGTTTGTTTGGTTTCAAATGTTTTTTTACTATTGTTTTTTTTCTTTTATTTTCATTATGTCTGTTTATAGATATAATCGGTCATTCAAAAACAAGCAATGACAATAATAATATCGTAGCCATCAAAGATAAGCAAAGTCAAATTTTGGAAATCAACGATCAACATCATTCTCAGCCACAACTACAACAACAATTGCATTCAGTCGATACATTGCTTGAAGGCAATCAATTGAACAAACATAATAATAATAATAATCATCATCATCAAAACCGTAAACATAACCAAGACAAAGGTCATCATCATCATAATATCGATAAAAATATTGATGATTTCATTGAAGAAACAACTAATAATGAAAATTTTGATAGTGTTAATTTAAAACGATTCAAAAAAGACAAATCAGCAGCTAATTTGCCACTGGTTGTATTAGATACTCATGACTCTACAAATGATAATCATAATGATAACGGCAATGGTGAAGATCTTAATCTGATCAAAGATTCAAAAATAACGTCAACAAACGATTGTAAATTAATGAATATTCATTCATCTAAACAGCAACGAATCGATGGCGATAGTGTTGAAAACAAATTAATATCACCTGATTATCATCATCTTAAACGATCATCGATTGATTTTATTACACGAGAATCGATAACAGCTTTTGAACAAAATGTTCGACAAGAATCGATTGATAATGGTCAAAATGGTAATAGTTGTTGGCGAAAAAATTCATTAGAAACAAACGGCCATCATCATCATAATCATCAATCGAACCATACACCAACAAAGACATCTACGAATCCATCAACGACTATCAATCACTATTCACCAGCATCAATGTTTGATGTCAAATTTAAATCCTATCATAATAGCAAAAACAATAACAACAACAATCAAGACAATCTTTTTGTATCAACATCATTGAACAATAATATTGGAAAAAATAATTTTAGTCACTTCATTAATTGTTCACCAAATAATAATAATAATAATAGCTTCAATAGTTCAACGATATTGAACGGTAGGTTAATTTTTGTTATTTTTATTTATTCAATGTTTCTTTTTTTGTTTGTTCATATGATACATAAATTTTATTTTTGGATCATTGTTACAAAATACTTAATGGATAAAATAGACAATGTAAATGGCTTATATGTAACAATTAATCCTAGGCTATAATTTATCCAAATTTTTTTTTTCATTTGATCAAAATTATTATTTTTATTATGATCATCATTTTGAAACAATTTCAAAATAGTTAAGGATTGTTTTTGTTGTTGTTGTTGTGTCAATAAATAAGCCATGTTTTTTCTTTTCTTTTTTTGACCATTAAGATGATGGAATGAAATGGTTATATTTTTATATTCATTATAACAATTTTTTTACCAGATAGATTATTTCATGTAAAAAATAATCATATATACAGTGTATCATAGATTAGAATAGTGTCCAGTTTTTTTTTCTCAAAAAATTGATGTACATTTATAATTTATGTATCCATATATATTATTTGTTGTATTAAATTTTCTTTTTTACATTTTATGTGTTTCACTTATTTGTCGCTTCAATAGATTTTCGATTGTTTGATAGAGAATTGCTTTTATTTTTATATTTTTTCATATATCATTCACTGGTGAACAAAAAAAAAGGATAATCATAGTGATGATTGAGATTGGCAAGTAATAATGGAATTAATAATAATAATATGTAGTATCCATGGGTGATATAATCATCGATCTAGGCCAAGAATTTTTATTGTTCATAATATCACAAAAAATAATGAAAAAAATAACAATAATTGTAAATTATAATCATATTGGTCGCATACGAATTATGGATCATCATGGCTTATATTTATTTATTGATAGAATTTTTTTTGTCATGTTGTATATGAATTTGAATGTAACCATCATAGCATGAAAGTTATTTTATATTATATTTATTATTATAACGATAAAGTTTTCGATATCAATTTTTTCATCATCATCATCATCATCATCATTTTTAGATGTGCAAAAGGAAACAACAACAGTAAAACTAATTCTCAACAACATTATCAATATGAAGTGAATGAAAAAAAAAGATTTAGATGAGATTAGTTTTATATGAAAAATATAAGATATGTTCAATGTTGTTATATACTACCGTATGTGTGTGTGTGTGTTTGTGTTTGTATTTAAGAATAATATCAATGCCATAAAATTATTGATGCATTATAATTATGATTTGACGATGATGATGATGATGGGTCATCTGAATCCTTATTTATGCTATCGTTGTTGTTGTTGTATCGTTGTTTCAATCAGTACAACAAAAAAACAACAACAATAACAATTTCGTCATTGAAATCTCATTCGAATATCATCATTTTATTATAATAATAATGTATCTCAATCCTAATCATCATCACATCTTGTTGTTGGTAAGGAGAAAAAAAATATTTATTTATTTTTGTTATTTGTTTGTATTTTGGTTATTTCAAAGCATTTCTTCTTTTTTTTCAATCGAATTTTGATGATGTGAAACACACACACACAGCCAGAGTATGTTGTTGATGTTTCACGATATCATCATTATCATCATTATCGTTATATATTTACTTTGATTTATCAAATCGGGATGATCCATTCATGATGGACTTTTTTTTGATGCCAAAAACAAACGAAAAATAAAACAACAACAACAACAACGCTCATTACATTGTACATCAGGTACAATCATTATCATTGATATGGCCATAATGGTAATTATTAATGGTGATGATATTAGATAATGGCCACTAGTAGTATAAACTCGAAGCTTCCACTATTCGGCATTTTTTGTTTTTTTGTGAATGCTCCTATGTATTTATAATGCCATTTTCATAGAATAATAATAGGTAGCCATTATTTATAATAATAATTCCAATGGAAAAAATGATGATCATCATCATTTTGAATTGTGTATGCATTTGTGGTTTTGGCTACCTGTATTGTATTGTGTTTTTTGTTGTTGTTGATTCTATTTCATTATGATTATAAATGGTGGAACAAAAAACAATCGAACATATGTATCGAATGTTCATTGATTTGTTTTATTAGTGATTTAGTTTGTATTTTTGTTTTCATATGGCTAATGGGGATGTTTGTTTGTTTGTTCTTTCTTGGTTAACTAAATTATTTTTATTTAATCCTCTTTTTCTTTGGCTCTTCCTTAGATGATGATGATAATGATCATTATCAAATCAAAACCAAAGTGATCAGTCTCATTATCAATTAATTACTACTATAGAATAGACTGATTTGTTTTTTGATCCTTGATGATGATTTTTTCTCAATGATAGTTAGAATAAAATTGCCATTGAGATTTGGATATGTCATACATCCTTATGGATAATGATGATGATCAGTTAGGATGTTGAATTTTATTGGGAAAAAATTAATGAAAAACTACAAAACAAAAACAAAATAGACAATGCAAAAAAAAAAAAATAATTTTCAATTTACATACTGAATTCGTGATCGATTCATTAGTTTGCATGTCTACTTTTTTATTGTCAATGATTCAAAATTAGAAGAAATAATTAGTTTTTTTCCTTGATAAATCCTCGAATTTTTTTCTCTATTTTGTAAAAATTGATACAATTGTTCAGGAGAAAAAACCAGAGAAATTTTGTTTCAATCATTCATAAACACGACCTTTGTTTCCGTTTAAACAAAGAAAATTAAATTTTCATTCAAAATTTTTTTCACGTTGATGATAAATTGACTTTAAAATTATTACTTGTCAAAATACAATCATAATATTATTGTAATTGACTTGGGAATACAAAAACATTAATAATCAAAACAAGCATTATATTTCAATTTAAAAAACAAAAATAATTGGCATCTGGAATAGCCAATAATTCGGCTATATTTATTTATAAATTACATTTTGTTTGTCATTTTATGCCCCTTTTTTTATTTCTGTCAGTTAATCTAACATTATCAATTTAATCTAAACTGGAAAAAAATCTGGGCATCCTATTCACTATTCAGACTCTTTTGTTCCATTAACTTCTTTTTTGTTGTTGTTAAATGAATTCAAAACCGGAACACACATATAGCCAAACAAACGATTGTATTAAATGACAAACATAGAAAAAAAGAAGAAAAATGAAACATTCAAAAAATGGATAGAAATCATAACATCGAATTGTCAATAAAACATACTGTTCAGGGTTTTGAAATTTAAGGGATCTTTTTGATCTGTATATCATTTTTTATCTTAGCTATGTATTTCTATTGTGAATAAATGAATCTCCCGGTATACATTTAAATGCAAATGAATTTCATTCAAACAACAACAACGACAACAAAACGGGTAGGGTCGTCGTGTCAATCGAATATATATTTTTTTCTCTTTTCATTTTTATTCGTATTTGAATTTTTTTTTCATTGCTCTGCATCCATGAAAAAAATGATTCTTTCGACTATATATGAAATGCTATTATATTATATGAATTTTTTCCCATTGATATCACATTTGGATACTATTTTCAATATATAATGATAATATTGATTTGATTGAAAAATGTTTTCAACATATCGATTCATAGAAAATAAATAAATAAATATCAATTGAATTTTATGACTTTGCCAGAAAATAAAACTTTAAACAGACCGTTATGAAGTATACATTATTGAATCAGATCGTTTCAGATCATCAATTCATAATTTTCTCTATCACTCTCCCTTTCCAATCATTTTTTTCGAAAAAAAGTTTTTTTTTTGAAATCAATTTTTTTCACATTCGGCAATGTTTGAAGCAAACAAGAAATAACATTATTTTTATGTTTTTTTTTGTTTGTAAAGTTTCAAATGAATATTTGTGTTTTTCATTCAGTGAATAATAAGTTAAATATTTTTGAAACCATTCTTTGTTTTTGTTGCTTAGATTGAAGTGATTTTTTTTCTTTTTTGATTAAATAACTAGGCATTCATTTTTTGTTTTCTTAGATGGTACATTGTACATTTTCATTATTAGTTTTGTTTTCATTTTATTCGGACAAATTTGTTTATGCATTCCTTTGACCGAAAGCGATAGTTTTTTTCCGCTCAAAATGAAGATTCTTCTAAAAATAAATGATTTTGTTTCAACAAAAATTTTGAATTTTTCATCGTTTATCATACCGACCGTTCATTAATCCAATCCATTCATACTGATTTGTATTTGAAGAGATGAAGAAAACAAAATATTTTCTAAATATTTTACGGTTTAAGATTATAATTAGAAATTAAATGAGTCGTATCGACTAAATGTTAGTTTTTGTGTGCGAGGAAGAGCGATAGAATATTTATGGTTAAATTTATTTTGGTTTGTTGGTGCGTTTCAGATAAGATAGATTGGTGAATGAATGAACAATTCTTCATAAATTTTTTTTTTGCAAACATTCTTCAACCCTCCAAAATTCTATATTTATCAAAATCTTTAAATTTATGATCATATGTGATTTTTAAATCTGCAAAAAAATTTGTATAAATGAAATATCAATTCATTTTTGTTTCTTTTAAAAAAATAAACAAAAAAGCCAAAAATTCTATGTAAATAAACATTTCTACATTTATTAATCGTAACAAAATCTGTTTTTTTTTGATGAATAATTTGTAATCCAACAGAATTTGTTACAATATTACCTTAAATTTAAATTGTTATGTAAGAAATTTGAATTTTGTCGTTGTAAAGAATTTAATATCATATATGTCATCATCATTGTCATTTTCGTTTGAAATTAGAAAAAAAGTGTTACATTGAAAATCATTTGTAAATAATCGTTTATTAAAATAAGCCGTTATTATTACTGACAATTCTGGCAGATGAATAAATAGTGATTATATTTTCTTAAAACATGAAAAACTGTTGGTATTTGTAGTAACTCATCTTGTACACTACCGACTAATGATTGACTTACTGAATATAACATATACACAAACACACATTTATGGCTTGAACATCATCAACATGTTCAATGTTTGTCATTATGCTTTATTGTTGTCATAA